GGCTGAGAATCTCTGAATTATTCAAACTGGAAGACACTCAGAGGATTTTAGTCCATTCTTCCAAATTATTTCCTTATGGTCTTCTCCTTCAAATTTTCAAAGAAGTGCTTACATGTTGCATCCATGGAAAGAAATTTCCTGCATCTGGCATTAGTTGTACCTCACTAGGAAGCTGGGAGGAAACCTTTGGTGAAGTACCAGAGTTTAGACAGTGTACCAAATTTAGCCCAGGATTATTTTATTTCTTTTTTCTGCAGCCAATGACAATTCAAAACTTTTGGCAAAATATGAACCTTATAAACTAAATTTTCAGGATTCCTTCCTTTCTGCTGGATTTATGTGCATATTGTGAAAAAATTACACAAAATCATTGTGAGGTCATGATATGGGGTTTTCTCTACAAGAGAAATAATTGCATTGTAAAACCAACTCATCTCACAGGGGTGTGGAAGACAAAATTACATTTTCTAAGTGTCCTTACTCATCTACCTTCACTCCTCTATTTTCTTGCTTAAGGTCTTTTTAGTTAATAAAACCTGTAGATACTGAAAGCAATACTGAGGAGAGAAAAGTGAGATGAGAGTATCTTGAGGAGTAGCATTTTTCAAAAACATTCATCCAACCATACTTCTTACATAGTAATTATAGTAGATAATTATCGCTATCCTTTGAACAGAAATTAATTTTTTTTACAATCATCAGGACTTCATAAAACAATAATCTCTTCTGTTTATAGTGCTATGTTTGTATAGAATAAATAGTGAATGCTGGTGGAAAATATGGAAAATGGTGTGAGTTTGGTGGAGAAAGGTTTATCATCTGTGACCTGTTCCATTTCTAAAACAAACTCAAGTCCATAAAAATTACACATTTCTTCTGGGTATTCACAGGTAGCCACCATTTGGAAAGATAATCACATTTTTCCTGAATTTAGTTACTGTCATCAGATTTTCTTCAGTCATTAAAGGGTTCAGTCATCTGTCTTTTACACAAGGAATTTTTAATGCAAAATATTCTGTAACTCTTGAAGAGAGCCCTGAACACTTGCTGAAATCAGTCCCACCACTGTTCCCTAGTGGAGTCTCTCATAGCACAGGGGCTGGGTTTTCTGTCCTCATTTCCAGTAGTTCAGGCAAGATCTAGTTCATTAGAGGGTCATTTATGTTTTACTTATTCATAAAGGAAGAGCTGAGGCATCATCTTAGATAAAATAAAAAAGGAATTTTTTGAGAAAATACAGAGTCTATCATGCCCAGTATGACTTGGGTTTTGTTGTTTGCTTTCTATTTGTAGAGAGACATCCCTAAAGACTACTACTGAGTGATTATCCCTGTGTTAGGACAACACTGTAATAAAAGCCCATTTAGAGATGCTTATTCTTGAACTGAGACTCCAGTGACTTTTCTTTATGGATCTTTTTTCTGTTCTGACACAAACTCTTTATTCATTATTAGCAATAAAAGAAGAAGGAGTGTGCTCCTTGAAGGAGCACAGTATCTGAGCAGCCATTAATTTGATTTTGAGACTTCCCTACACAAAATTTAATTCTCTAGAACATAAACACGTAAGAACAAAATCCATGTAAACAACTTGCCCATTGTACAGAAGGATTAACAAGTTATTAATGGACCCATCTGAAGTTGTGGGAAACATCATCATGCTTGCACACACAGAGCCATTCCAAGCACTCTCCAGTAAGTTTGGAATATTTTGGTGAAGAAAGCACAGTATGGATAAAAGCACTGTTAGTGCTTGCATTCAGATGTAGGAGGGATGATTTCTCATAGTTTTTATTAAATTAAAGTCGTAGAAAAGGCAGCATGCATTGACCTCTCCACAGGCAGCGTGCGCGCGTATGCAGCGAGTGGATCCAGTGACGCACTCCTGACCCTGCCTCTGCACAGACAGAGAAGATGATGGTTCCACATACTCAGCTCTTTGATTTCCTTTCCACTAGCCATAATTAACATTTATTCAAGCAACATTAGGAAGAACATAAATATTTCAAAGAAGCTAATTACAGCATCCAAAACATCCTCCAAGCTATTCGGTTAATGAGGATGTGTTTTGTTCCTGCAATAGTGTAACATTAATTTCAGCAAGCTATTAAACAAAACAAAACCAGATGCAATAGAGAAAGATGTATTTTTTCTCCTATTTACAAGAATGCTTACTTGAATTTCAGTGAGTTCCTTGAATAAAGATGACTGTCATAAACCATACATGCTTCCTATAAACTCAGATTCAAGCTTGGTGAACCTGCTCTGTCAAAATCTGCACCAATTTCAGTGGAAATATTATCTTGGTATAATATATAGTCTGAGCTTAGTGCAAATGTACGTTTTTGTTAGAAGTTACATTGTTCTTTCTAGTATATTACAAGGAGGAGGATAACTACGCCCAAATCAGATTACCTTACCCAGGTATCAGGAAATGCAAAACTACACAGATGCTTTTAGTAAAAAGGCATAGTCTAAAATGAAATGGAGTTCATACTGGGTTGGAAGTACTGGAGGAGTGTAGCCTTAGGATTCAGACACTGTAGAACTTGGCACAAATAGGATCGAATGTGTAATGGCTACTGCTTTTGTCCATTAGTAGGAATCTGCTGAAAACAAAATTCACATTTCAGATGAAGGATTTTCAAGCAATACAAATCCAAGCAAGAGAGAAATATCAGATTAATTGTTTTTTAATGGTAAATGGAAGGCCAGAAATTTTCTACCTGGAAATTTTTTCTCATAATCTTTAAAATCTCCTGATAAGTTTTTGTGCAAGTGGGCTCTCCAAAATTTTTCTGTTTCCACTGTGCAAACATGCAGCTTCTGCGCTAATCAGAACCCTTTTACCTGAAACTAAAGTTTAATTCAAGACGTATATTTTTTCAGTATCCTTAAAACACTCTGCACCATTCAACAGGTGCAAAATATTTACAGGTGTCCAGCGCTCAATTAATAATAGATTGCAATTTATTTTATTTCACCACCTATTAAATATTTAACAAGACTGTAATAATTAAAATGCATAACAAATTAAATCTTTCCTTAGGCTAAAGCTTGGGACACTGATTCATGCAGTTGAATCAAGATAGATTAGGGAGACACCTTTCAGCACTAATGACTCCTTATTTATGGTAATTTCTTCAAATAAATGTGTTCTGCTTTTATTAGTGAAAAACCAGAACTAAATACAATCCCTCAATTAAGACTGTTTAAAAAAAAAAGCCCTTTTAATTAGGTAGATATAAATACAATAACACATACAAAATACAGGCTTCTTCAGTTTATATACTGGTCTGATAAGTGGCTCTCCATTGACATGAGGATTAGCTCTGTCCCTAGACATATAAAGGAAAGCTTTGCTACTGAATCTGATAAAGAAGATGCTCCTATTACTAAAAGAATTTTACAGCATCTTAGCATGCTGCTTGGCAAAGCTTTTGCAATTTTGATTGTCTATCAAAGTGTCCAGGGTGGAAGAGCCCATTTTGTTTCACATACATGTGGTAAAGGTGAAGGCAAAGAGCAGGCACCAAGACTATGGCTGTAAATCAAAGTTTTGCTTTGTTTCACAGTAACAGCCACTGCTCTTGTCAGGCAGATTTACTCCACCACATACTATTTAGCCCCCAGTCAAAACCCAAATGAAATGGTAAAAAAGAACTGCAAGTTGTTTTGGAAAATTACAATCCTTTTACGCTATTGTCTCATTGCTGGACTGTGATGTACTAACTTCCTTAGGGGAAAAAAAAAAAAAAAAAAAAAAAAAAAAAAAAAAAAAAAAAAACCAACCAAGAGAAAAAATATGAGTGAATGTAAAAAGAAGGGAAAACAAATCATAAAGATAGACTGTAAACTGGGATCTCCCATCCAAAAACCATCTCTGTAGCATTGGAGCAGCACCTCAGCTGTACAGGATCTTCGGAGCAAATGGGGAGAAAGCAGAGACAGTCAGACATGTGTCACTTCAAAGTCAGACCTGGCTGCTGGGCTCGGTGTGAGGAACAGGTCAGCACCAGCCTGAGCCTCTTGCTCACTCTTGGCAGGGTGATCATCACCTGTTGGATGTGACAGCAGGAGGAACGGCAGACTCGGGTAGCCACTCTGGTAAGCCAGACCTTGCTGTGCTTCAGGGATGGCTGGAATAAACTGCCCAAGCGCCTTGAGAGATCTGGAGCCTGTCATAGAATGTCAGTCATTCTTTCATTATCTACAGGTATAAATAACAACTGGGACTAAGGTCTGCAGCTGTACTATAAGTAAAATACCCTGCTAAGCACAGTATTATGATTTTAATTGCAAAATATTAGCATACCGCTGAGTTCTGTTTCGTGGTGTGGCATTGTGTGTGTGTTTGAGGCACAGGAAAAGTCTGGAGGCAGTCACACCCTGCAGCCGGGGAGTCCAGAATATCCAGTGAGAGTCGGCGGGTGCCGAGGCAGAGGGGCCCGTCCCCAGAGCCACCGACGGCTTCCCCCACATGCAAGCTCGACGAGATTTACTCCCACGTTCAGCTAGTTGGGGGCAAATCAGCTAGTGGGTCCGATTCACCCGCATTAAATCACGCCTCTCCTGCCCCGCACACCGGGCTGGGACGGTGTCTGGGCCGCCCTCGCCTCAGCGCTCCGAGCGCCGCGGCTCTGAGGGAGCGGTACCTGCCGCGCCAGCCACCGCGGCTCCTGCACGGCTCCGGGGGACTAAAACACGGATTTTTTTGGTTAAGGAGGGGATTTAACAAAGGGCGTGGAGCCTGGCCAGCGCCTCGCCTCTGCGCCTCGCAGGGACACCCCCGCCCCAGCGCGGGCTCCAGCGGCGCTGCGCCGGGGCGGAGCGGGCTGAGTCACCAGCCGCCGGCCCCGGGGGGAGCGGGGCAGCCCTCCCGAGCCAGGCTGCGGAGCCCCACGTGTCGGGGGATTTAAAAAGTTGGGGCAGAGAGAGGGGACATGCCCAGAAGAGCGGCTGGCAGAGCGGCGGCGCCGGGAGCTCGGCGGCTCGGCGGACATGGGACCCGTGTGCCACCAGCAGCCCCCCGCGGCCACCCCCGAGCGCGGCCCCAGGAAGGGCGGGGACGGCGCGGCGCTGCCCGGCTCCCCGCTGCTGCTCCTCTTCGTCCTCCTCGCTTCCTCGATTTCTGCTTGCAAAGGTGAGCATCGTCCCGCTCGCAGTCCCCTCCCGCGCCGCCAGCTGTGCCCATTATCGCGGAGCAGGGTGCCCGCAGCCTGCCAGCCTTGCGGGACAGCTACTGGGCACGGCTCCGGGCACTGGTCTGGGGGCTTCTTCCCGTATCCCGGCAGGATTACTCTGTCCTAGCAAAACACTCCAGCAACTTGGGGAATAGGCTTTTGCTGAAAGAGATTTAATTTTAAGTATCATTTACGCTGATTTAAAAAGGTAAGAAAAGACATGAAGCAACATGTGTCACAAAATTGCAGGACAAATTAGGACCCTCTGGTAGTCATTTCAACCTGTAGCAGTATTTATCAGGTGAGGAATCCTGAAAGTTGCTATTTTTGTAGCAGGGCGCTCTTGTGAAACATCTAGCAGACTGTTTAACAGACCATACTTTCTTTTCTACTCTATTTTCACACCTCAGGTAGATTAGCTGCTTACACCTTGTAAAGTAACACTACAAAATGCTGTGCAAGGACTATTTCTATTTTGTTTGTATTAGATTTGTGTGATTTGCTTTAGTTGTTTATGCTCTGCTTTGCTGTGGTTTTTTAATATCATTAACCAAAGAAATCTAATGACAGCACACTTAATATTATGTTAAAAATAAGTTCTGAAGATGTGGAAGTGGAGAGGGAAGGAAGAGGAGTGCAATGGAGGGCAGTGGCACACAGTATTTCATCTCTGTTCTCACACAAATGATTGCCAGGAGCTTGTTTAGGGATGCAGTAGAGGGAAGAGAAGATGTAAGATGTGAGTCCCAGGCTGTGTATCTGGCATTCTACTGCCTTGAAAGAAGTTGAATTTCTTAAAGATGGCAGAATTGAAGGATAGGAAACCAAATGTGCTGTAGACAATGTTGATTTTGTAGAAGGATTCCTCCTCCGTGTTTCCTTTAAATAGGACTCTTTTCTTCAATAGCACATGCTTCTTTCTTTCTTTTTCTTTCTTTCTTTCTTTCTTTCTTTCTTTCTTTCTTTCTTTCTTTCTTTCTTTCTTTCTTTCTTTCTTTTTCTCTCTCTCTCTCTCTTCTCTCTCCCCTCCCTCCTCTCTCTCTCACCTTCTTTCTTTTCCCCTTTCCCCCGTGGTTATTTTGTGTACATTACAAAAAACCTTAATGTTTCACTATGTGTGCTGTTCTGTAAATGAATGAAGTGTTCAGAGATAGGGAAGCAATGCTTTGGTGGGGAAGGTATGCTAATTTGAAATGTTGCCCTGTTCCACTCTTTTAACTAGGATACTAATCCCAGGTAACACTCCAGTTTGAATACACTAATTTAAGAGCAGAAGACAACGTAAGACAACTGTAGCACCTTTAATTTATTTGGCATTTTTCTTTGAAATGAAACAAATAATTGGTAATCAGTTCCCTTGTTATGTGAACAACTCAAACATTTTTTTTTAAATCCCACATCTATATAGTGTGAAATTAAGAGCCCCTCTAATTCTTTTTTGGGGCAAAGCAAGCATTCATAATAATTAGTCACCTTAAGTCTGTGCCAGTACAAAAATGTGGTTTTGAAATCCATCCCGTTCCATAAATGCCTGGAACTAACTACTGTTGTGATTATTGTTATTAGGAGTAAATGTAAAACAAATAACATGATGGCATTTATTCCCTGCTCACTGGATATTCTATCTAAGTCTAGAGGTCCAGCACCAGTTTCCCTCCTCCCGTGGGAGGTACAGCACATCCCCTCACTGACAGCATTGCGTGGTGTCTGACGTACTCACCATTCGGTGATGCTCATTTCTGCTATTTACAGAGACTCTAACAATACACTGCCACGTAAAATAACAATGTGGTAAGAGGGATATTCTGGACATTGAGCTGGAAGGGATGCTGGGACAGTGACTTCCATGTCTGCAGGCTGGGTGGGTAGAGATAGAGAAAGGAGCTCCCCCAAGTTAATAGATCTTCACTGCATCATTATGTAATTAAGGACACATTTAATCTACTGAAGGACAAGCTTTTCCCCATCACATGTGCAAGACAGAGGAAACAAATCCAGTTACAGATGTACTGTCTATCACCTTGTCAAAACCACGTGTTCGTATCACGGGCACTATTTATATGCAATCGTACATTGCGTAGAGCATGTTCAATTCTGCAGCTGTAGCACACAGGAAGGCAAGAAGTAGAGTCCAGATCCTCAATTCACAGTGCATGCACTGGAGGTGAGCAGAGCTCTCAGAAAACTCGAGGCTGTAGGAACTGGAATGTGATTTTCTGAGCAGGTCTCAGTGAGACCTAAGTAACTTCCACACTGTTTATTGTTTAGACATGTGAGTGTCCATACATGCTATGAACATGTGATAAGGCATCCTACTGTGTTGCTGAAAGAGAGCAGGCAAAAACTAGCAGACAAACCACAGAGCACCCAGGGTCACAGACTTCCTTGGACCAAGCAGCTCTCGGCCTTTGCAGTTAATAGTTGAGCTAGGTCTGTCTGACATGGGATGCTTACACAAATGACCTTTGCTGAACAGCATTGCTAAGCATGGTTTGTGCTTCCAGGTGCACCAATGCCGTCCCAAGAACTCGAACCAGATGAGGATTTGCAGCTGTTGAAAGAGGTAAGCATCATCTGCCATGTGGTATCCTTCCATTCTTCTGTGCCCATCCTTGCTACAGTTCCACCTCACTATCCAGTGTTTCTCTTGCACAGAGTTCAGCTGTGTCTTCTTCCAGTATGTCTTCCTGTATGTCTCCTATCCTGGCATCAGCAAAGAGGTGAAATATCTAATTTTCCAGGTATTTTGAACAGTTGCTTCAAGAGGATGTTGGGACTAAGTGCTGAGACGTCATTCTGAGAAGAGATTGTCTTGTCTCAGTGGAGAGCTATGTTTGATAACTGCCAATGACCAGGCAGACACTGTCTCTGGAAGCATCACAGTGTCCCTCACATCTGGTAGCTTTATAGTCTCTACATGATACTCAGGAATTGTTTCAACTCATTCAGTCTTGCTTCTTGCATCCTGTACTCTGCACACAAGGCTCGGACACTGTTCAATCCTATCCTAGCCTCTCAATTTACTAGGGAAAGGACAGTGTACTGTGTCAATTAGCCCCTCTAACATTTGGCTACTGATTGGTATCATAACTTCCACTCTCATCTCTGAAATTAACGTTTGTTTTGACTCTGGAGTGTGACGCATGTGTTAACACAGGCTCTTCCCTGCCCTTTTGGAACAGATGGAGTGGCAGGGTGTAACATGTGGAGAGGGTTTATCCTGCAACTTGCATGCCCTGGTGTTGCTGCAACTGTCAACTATTGTGTTGACATTTAATTTAGTAGCTTTTGATAAGATTGGAAAATAAGTGACTCATCAGGGGGGCAGATGCAGAGAGTAAATTTCTTCTTACTGAGACCATTACAGGAGCATTCTGCTTACTGTCATCTCCCCACAGTTCATATTGGACATGGTGACTCAAAACCTAGCCTATTCTACTGGCACTAGAGTGAACCCTAGGGATGCTTATCATCCGGGAAAAAATGGTCTCTTGGGAAGTAAGATCCTGATAACTATAAGGAGTATTTGAAAATGAGTTATTTACATCCTGGATTTAAAAAGCTCTTTAATACATTTCTGTGTGTCTTGATAAGATATGCTAGCTGTAAGATTTGTCCCTGTGGTGCCTGGAAACCAAGACAAAGGTCTTGTTGATTTCAATGAAGAAAACAGTATGCATAAGACACTAAATTTTGTAAAATTTTGAAACAGAAGCAATATAAAACTTACCATTAGAACTAGAATTATACTGGACTGGAAAGGGTCTAGAGAAAGAGAATTAGATATATAGTTATAGATCCTAAATCAACCTAATTACTCATCACACTAGGTCACCGGGGTTTCATAAAGTGCAAGTAATAATTCTTCCCTCTTTGCTACTTTACTAGTGGACCATTCAGGAGAATCCCTGCCTCTAAATAAACCTAGTATGCTCCAGGAATGGGTCTGAGTTTATAAATAATTTGAGAACTTTGTCACTAAGTATTTTGTTTCATTACTTGTCTCTTACTTCCTTTTGTTTCTTTATGTTAATTAACCAATCCCAAGCAACTTTCAATCTTCTACCCTCATGCCACATTTCTGAAACAGGAGAGAAAATTTCGGAGAAGATGCATGCTAATTTTTTTTTTTAAAGGAATTAACAGAATTAACAGAAATGGTGACTTTTCCTCTGTCCTTGCTTTGTCTGCAAAGGTTTTAGCTGAAAGATACAATTGTGTTGAACACAAAGCAGTCACTGGCTTGTTCTGCTACTGAGTTATGGTAGTTCTCTGTGTCAAGTAAATAAACAAATAAAACCCAGCACAAAAAATCCCCAAGAGGAAACAGCGCTTTTTTTAAACATAAGCTTCCAAGATAACTTCAGCTTCTATCTCATTCATTGCTGAATTTCTCCTTTATACTTTCTCACTCTGAAAGTAGTGAAGCTGAACTAATACACTCAAACACGTGCAAGATGAAGGAAAAAGAGAACAGAGAGGATGTGCTACCAACAAAACCTATTTGAAAAGGGAATCCTGTGAGCTAATAGTTTTCCCACTATATCTGCTAATGCTTTCTCACAGATTGTCTCTGGAGAAATGAATCATCTCCTGTCCTGAAGTGCTCAGATAATCATTATTTTTTTCTAATTTCTTTTTTCCTTTAATGTTTTCTTTGCTAATGTGTGTCACTTAGGTTTTTTCTCTATAAAAATTTGCAAGAACAATTGCATTGCCTTCTCTATCAAAAAAAAAAAAAAAAAAAACCCAAAACCACTATATTTTTTATGCAGCCTGTGAACAACATGAGTGGTAAAGGGTTTTTTTTTTTCATCTACCACTACCAAATATTACATGGAAAAATTAGCATATACTGATGGAGGTTACTATGATACAACTTTGAAGTTATTTAATAGAATTTTAAGTTGCTTTTTGCCATTTTTTTGAAACTGTGCAACTTCAGTTGCAGTGCTGAAGACTTTTCCTTACAGAGTTCTTTGAGCTTTCAGCGCTGGTAATATTATTTCTTTGAACTGAAATAAATTTATTCCATTTCTTATTCCTTCTTTGTTAATAACTCCACTAAAAATTTGTCAGTATTACATTATTCTTTCATCTTGGAAAAGAGACAGAAGGAGGATGTAATTAATACAAGGTTATGAACCATAGGGAGAGGATGGGTAGGAATCACTTCTTTGGTACTTCTTCCAAGCAAAGATCATGACAGCAGGGAATGAAGACAGCTTTGAAAAGACTGGTGAAGACAAACAGTAGTGGCGCTTCACACAGTGTTTAGGAAACTTCTGGCACAAATTGAGTGGTGTGCATAAGATGTGCCAGCACATATCATAATCACTCAAGGCGTGCATGTGTCATAAACCTATAGGGATGCCATAATCCCATTGAAAGAGTTCTGTTTGAAGATTGATCCTTTAATCCCTTGCCTTAGTTTTGTTACTTTCTTCACAGTTTTGTATAATTCAAAGATATGGCAGAAGAGATTCAAGTTCATAGTTTATGCCCAGGATGCTTACAATCATAACTTAAAATATGACTTAGTCTGAGAAGTTTGCAGTAAAAAGGGGTATGTGCTGGGTATGGAATAAGAGTCACAGATTCCTATGCTTGTTCAGATCAAGCAAGTATAGGTTTGTTGTTGTTGTTTTCTTTTTTTTTATGTGATTAGGGCCCTTTCCCCCTTTGAATGCAAGGTATTTAATGAATGGACCTATAAGGATGCCTTACAGTAGGCAAGCTTGCCATGCCATAAGCTGCACTCACCTTTTTCTGAAAATATGCGTATTTCACTTGTTTTTATTACTCTGACTTCCTAAAAAAAAACCAACATGTGAACTCTTACAGATAGAAGATGCATGTTCTGCTTACCTGTCCACAGATTCTCAGCCTCAGGTGAGTCAGACAGATGTAACTCTACTATTTGGATACTGTTTATTATATTTAGTAGAATTGGAAGTGTGATACCTGAGTTCCTGTTTTCTTCACATTAGGTATCCAGTACACTGGAAGAACTTTGTTTTTTGATCGTGGGATTTCTCCAGAAACCACAGGTAACACACAAAAGACTGCTTAGCATTTTTGAAGCCTGATCTCTCACTGTGCCATTGTCTACAATGAATTCTGAGGACCCAGAATGGAAAGTGTCGTTCAGCACTGGAAGTACTTCTATCAGTTTTTACTCTGAAATGTGCCATGTGCCAGAATGTAACACCTTGTAAAGACAAGAGATACATCAATGTTTGGAAAATTATCTCCAGGTTGAGTACAAAGTGTTAGGTGTTTTTATTGCTCTAGATTAGAAAAACTATGAATTCTCAACAGACAAAGAGACTTACTTAGGAGAGTAAATCTCCTAAGTAAAGGGGATGAACAAGGGAACATCTGCTAAACACATCTAACTCTACTAGCACACAGTAATCAATGCTCTCTACAGAGTTTGAAATGATTAGTTAGATTGATAAGCAAAGACATACAATACATCTGCCAAGGAAGGATATTTCAACCCTGTGCTGAAAAGATTATGTATTTAATCAAAATTATCAATTGTTCTTTTTATTTTAATGAATAAAAGCCTTTCTACCAACTATTATTCCCACAGGGTTTAGATGAGAAAGACAACACCAAAAGGGTAAGATGTCTATATATGTCCTACAATCACACTAAAAAAAGGCAAGAAAATAATAAAACCCTTGCCCTGCTTTGTAGTAAAACCCCACTTTTAATTTTTTTCAAACAGTTCTTATTTCATTATTCTAAGACTCATGACTCGGGCAACTCAGACATCATGGTAAGTGGCATAGCACCTCCTTATGAGTGAGTACATGTGTGCTTGTATACAAAACCAAGGCAATATTCCTTTTTGCAGTAGTCTCTGCAACTGTATAGCAAGCTCAGGACTGGGAGCTGCATGTTTACAATACAGAAGGTGTTTTTATAATATAGGAGAGGATGATCAGTACTGTACAGGCGTGGAAAAAAAAATCTAACAAACTCAACCAAACATTCATGGAATCCTAACTCAATCTTAATCTTGCAGTTTCAAATTTTAATAATGAGATCAAATACTTTTTTCAGGTATTGGAACATAGCACATGCAGTGGTACAATGTGGACTTGCAGGACCTGAGAACATGACCATAACTATTAGATACTCTTGAAAGCATTTTTATTAATTTTTAATTAAACTGCATTAATTCATTTGTGCATGTCATAAATATATAGAGGCAAAATAGTATTTAAGTCTCACTTGGACTTTGGATTATATTTTGAATGAAAAATATAGTTTAAACCATGGCCAAGAATAGTTGCTCGAAAAGTGTTCCCATAAACCAACAAGCCAAGTATGTGATCCATTCTGGCTTTTGAAATGCAAGTGTACTCTGTTATCTCTGTGCATCTATGCATCATGGGATTTTGAGAGAGTTAAATGTATTCATATTTTCTTGTTTCTGAAAAATCATTCTTACATGCCAATGTCCATTTTTGCCTTGTTCTTTACATTTCTCCAGAAATATGTGGTGTATTTCCTAGAAGGTGACATTGCTCATATTGGTGTCAATGTTTTCATGCTACAGCTGTTTTGGAGGCTTTAATGATAATTAAGGCACAGTGAAATGAGCTATTTCTGCTGCTGCTCATGCTTAAAAGGTTACTGCATTCCACTGCATCACCATCCTGAATACCTTTGCTGCTGCTCCCAGAGATTACCACTTCCTCACTTTTGGTTTAGCTGTTCAGATGACAATTTTCTAGCCATTCTCAGGGATAGCAACTTAGGTCATCATTCCTCAGCTTTATAAGCTGTCTCCACTGGCTGCAAGACAGAGCCCAAGTGGACAGCTGGGATGTTCATTAACTACTTCAATCACATCAGATTCCTACTTTTTGTAGGTATTATGATCCCATATTGCCTACCTTAGGCAGCAAAATTGGTTACAAATAAGTTCTTTTTACCTATTAAGTACAATAACACTTTGGTAACTCTGGTTACTCCATGTCTTACAGTTCTCTTAATTGCATTACTTTTACAAGAAGTATTATAGCAAAAATGCATTGTTTATAAAATTCCATTTATATGTGTTGAAGGTTTAAATTGGTTAATGGAACACGGGTTTTTTACATTTTATTTCTTCCTGTGGACCTCTCTCCAAAATCTGACGTAGTTGTGTTTTTCCAGGGTGAGTATTTAGGCTGCACACAATGCCACTGTGCATACTTAGGCTGTCTGCAAGCTTAAAGTCTTGTTGAACACAAGGAATTTCATGCCTGGAGCTTAGATAGAGTGACCAGTGCCATGGTTACAAATGTCCCTTGAGAATGGATTTCTACTGTACACTGTTCTTTAGCAAAAAAATAATTTTTTTTTTGCCATTTATTTTGAAGTAAAATGAACTTCTCAGTACAACAGAGGTGGAAGCTGCTAACTTCCATAATAGAAATTTCTAGACGTTTTAGTAGGAATACTGTATGGAAATATTCTCAGTACCACTCACAGAGACTGAACAAAGTTTGAATAATTCCAGGAGTCTGTAAATAGTTCTGAACTTTCAGTTAGTAAAGATGAGGATACATACATTTTCCCTCTATCATTCCGTGTAGTGTAACTATAAATGTTGATTCCTGTTTGTTGTCAAGTCAAAATGTTAAAAAAAAAAAGTTTTTCAATTAATCAGTTTCTCAGTCTTTAGTCCTTTATTGGTGCATGTTTGGTCCATGAGTCAATACTGCAGAAAGAGACTTTTTTTGCATCATAAGGCCCAAATTTCACTGTGTGTGTGTTCGTGTCCTCTCAGTCATCTGTCCTGCATCCTTTACTGCAACTCGTTCCTCACCTTAATGAGAGAAGACTGAAGAGATACAAACTGGACGTATGTAAACTGAAACTCTGCATGCTTGTGTTCTTACACTTTGTGATTCATTAGCTTTTCTAAAAATGCCCTTGTAGACCTTTCTGCTTATATATTTTGGTTGGACTGCCCAAATCTCAGTGTCACAGAATGTGCTTCAGGAAGGGTTATCTTGCTGCTGATCGTTTTTCTTCCTCATATTGGGAAGAAAAACAGAACCTGCTGTACATAAACACAGCCACCTCTCTCCCTGACTAGATAAGGAACTGAAAAGGTGGATGAGTGAAGGAGGAAACATGCTCTATTAAATTCATTCTTTCTCCCCAATTTAAAACAGCTCCAGATTTTTTCACAGCTTTGATTCCTCTTGAGCTACAGCCTGCCTCATAGGATATGATCTAAGAAAGAAGACTCAAGCATTATCTTGGCTATTCAATATAAGAGACTGAGCAAAATACCATCTAGAGGACAGGCATTAAAATAAAACTCTAAGTAATCGTACATCTTCATGAATACATATTTTTCTGTGTACATATATACATGCAGGTTTGTGAATAAACTTGCATGTTTATTATGGCAGGTTTTTCTTTTTTTTAACATCTCCAAACCCTTAGAAATTTAGAAGGTGGGTGTTACAAAAATGACAGATTGTTAGCTTCATCTGTTTACTAATACCAAACTTCTGACATGAACTCAAACAAGAACATGTAATGTTTAAGGAGGGTCTGGTTCTAAGAGGAAAAGGACATTAACAAAAATCACAATTTCTCACTAGTAATTTTACTCTTGATTACTTTTCTGTTCTGGATGAATTTCTTAATCTTGCAACAGCTCCGTATTTTGTTCCTGTTTTCAGTTTTTTTCACACATTGAATAGAAAAAGTAGAAAAAATACATATGAATACCATAGGACTCAAATGACAATGTACAGAAAAAATTTTACCCTTTTGAAATATAAAAAATTATAGTAGTGATCAGATTATAAATCCAAGATAAGTATTTCAAACACAGATAATGCTAGAATGGGAAGAACAATAGAAATAAAAATCATACAGATGTTTTATGTACAGTAAGAAACTTAATACAATGCTATATATGATGAATTGAAGTCAGAATTAAAATCAAGACTCAGAAATTATGTATAGTTTAAAATCTACTTCCTTTGAAAGCTTCCCTGGATTGAATCTACTTCTGTAGTTTGGAAATGATGGGAGTCATCCTGTTTTACACAATTCTCACAGCATTAGAAGAGAGCATGGTGTGATTCCTTTCTGTGACACTTCACATTATGATATTTACCCAAGAGATCACAGCACCCCAGTTTTTAGTTGAGAAATACACTCATTGCTAAATAAAAGCCATCTCATTTTAATGTTCTGGTAAGCATAACAATAAGACTGTTTTGCTTCTCAAGTTTACTGTCTCCCCACCTGCAGGACAGACACATCACTCCTCTCTGATACCAACAGAAGCAAATAAAACACTGTGATTAAGCTTATGTGTTCTCTAATCATGAAGGTCTCATTAAAGCAGCTGGATAGCTCATGCTTTGTACTTGTTACATTTAGAGAGAATTTCTATTTTCTTCATAATTTCTTAGCCTCCTTGCTATATGGATCACTAGGCAGCTGTTTCACCCTGTGTGCAGTATAGACTATCACATGCACTGCTCTTTAGGAGTTAATGTGAGAGGGGTGGTTATGGCACATCTTTGGGAACAATCTGGGGTCTCATTCCTGGGAGAAGCTCAAGTATTTTTGATATTTAAACTTTGTATTTTTGTCCTCCTGCAAGATGCAAAAAGCAACTCTATCTGTAGAAACTGCTCTCATGAAGACACTCTTCTTGTGCCTGGGTAGTAAGCCCTGGAAAACGAGGCAAAGGCTGTTCCTCATTTCTAGTACCATTCAGAAGCAATCTGAGCTGATCTTAAACTTTGGGCGGAATTCAGCTCCATTCATATGTTCTCTTCCATTTCTACATGACAACATAAACATTGTGTTACTGACATGGGGAAATGCACATAAAGCATTCAAGGAGTAAATGATGTGTCTGTATGTAGTACTGAAGAAATATTTTTTATATATACATAAACAACCTCTCTGTATGTATTAATTTACAGCTGCAGATGTAATTTAAAATACTTTTTTCCTCAGGAAGAACTTCAAGGACCTGGAGTGATTCAAAGCAGAGGCTACTTCTTCTACAGGGTATGGTTTGTTTGATTATTTTTTTTCCTTTTGTTTTGTGGTGAGAGTTAAAAAAAAAAAAAAAAAGAAAAAAAAAAGAGATATTATTACATAAAGAATTACTGTGATTAAGGATACTTTTCTCAGTTAGACCATTCCACCCTACAGGACATCTCCAGGTCTGCTCCTGAAATTTCCTTGTATTAAAATAAAGGCATTGTGGGCATTTTTTAAAAATCATATTCCTAGGTTTGTGTATACATGATACCATTCTATGCCTTAAGAAGTCATTGGTTATTTAGGATCTATTTGTCAGAGAAAGTTCTAGAAAATATGGCATCTTGGGAAATCTTCCTAAAGCACTGTTCAGCAGGGTATGTTTGCACATGATATAAATACGATTCCATGCTTACACATTGTGCTAGGTCTGACTTTGCCATTTTCCTTCTGTTTTGACCAGTAAGGTAAGAAACTAGATACAGAAATTCTTGTGAGAATCTACTGTGTTCATCTTTTACACCATTAGCAAAATTGAGAAGGTGGCAAGTCAGACTTTCTGCCATTTCTACTTAAATAGGAAAGTGGCTGATGGCTTTAAATAAAAATGTGGCTAGGGTTGTACTCAATGATCCTAAAGGCCTTTTTGTAAACTAAATTATTCTATAATTCAAACAAAAAGACCACAGATTTGTATAGTTACATTTCTTTTGTATCAGGCTTGGATCCTTAGAGTTGTTATGACAGGCCCAAGTTATGGGTAATATTAACATTGGTGCATTAATGCTTCCAGAGTAAAAAACAAATCCTTATTAAACCCAGGAACAAATTTTTTATCAGCTTTAGTAGAAGTTGTATCAAGTCCCTCACTAGTGCAACATATTTCTGAAAAAGACCACAGTGAAAAGAAAGTCCTTGTCTATATCAAAGAATACAGTCTAAAAAGAAAATAATTGAGAGTGATATGTAATTGTTTATTAATAGCAACAAACCCACTTATAGTGCAATAATTGCAACAATCAGAAAGCACATTTTAAGAAAATGCAAAAAGAATAAGGATTAACAATCTCTTGAAGTCACTTCTTATGGCTTTCTCCCCCTTATAAAATCATACAAGATAGAAAATTCATTCTTCAATTGATATGCAGTAAATTTTAGTGTGTAATTATCCTCCAGAGGTAGATACAGATTAAACAATAACTTATCTTAGGTCTATTTTTGACAATAATCACAATGACACTACTGAGACATTCACAAATTTCTATACACACCAAGTTGTTTGGGGCTTTGTTACTAAGTTCTGTCAGTTTTACAGAATACATAACTTACTGAATATTTGTCTTTCAGCCACGTAATGGAAGGAGATCAGTGGGTTTTCGCTGAGGAGGTATTTATTTCATGCTTTTGATCATGACCTACATGTAAATTAGTTCATTTTTATCCAAATAGACCACAATATTTTTGTTGAGAATTGTCTCAGAAAGCCTTTAACTGTGTAATCAGCTTAGATTTCCACCCACAAATTTTTCCCAGATGTGTTAAATACACTTAGATGTGTTAATTACACTTACCTTCAGATGAAGTGAAAAGAAGCTGTAGGTATTCAGTTCCCAGAACAGACAGCACAGAGGTGTTTCAGGCAGCAAGAATTGGAAAATATCCCACGTTTTTAAACAATTTGGAAAGTACTGATGATGACAAGTCAATCTAAGAAAGAACTGAGTCAACTACTTGTCAAAAGAATGCTAAGAAGTAAACTGACATCCTGAAGGTAATTCCCTAATCTCACAAAGTTAAAAAACTCACACTGAAACTGAGTGCAAACTTCAGGATTTATTTTCAGTGCCTGCAACTATTTGGAGAGATGTAAAAATGTAGACTAATACTATGCATTTTCTAATGTATTTTATTCTGCCATCATTTTTAAGTCTTATATCAATTTAGAGTTACATCAACAGCTAATGCTCTATCTTATCTTTCAGGATTATAGATTCCTGACTTAGAACTAAAACTGCAGGAATGCTGAGTACATGGACATACTGTTTTCCTTACAATAATTATTCGTTATTAATGTACAATTAGAAATCACTCAAATGTAAATATTCTTAAACCAGATTCTGTTAAGAAGGTCTTTACTATCTTGATTATATTAAAAGCATATTAAAATTATTTGTTTCCTAGTGTTATGATGTTTACAACCACATGTAATTCAACTGTAAAAGAGTCGGTGCTTGCACGCAACAGACATTGCCTCTAACAACCCTGTTAAGCAAATTTTCTCTTCTAAATAAAGGCCCTCAGCCAGACAGTTGTTTTAATGAGAATGTTTGCAATCAAGACTACTGTATTTTTTCCAGAATACATTGTGATTTGTGTGTTTCACCATCTGAAAAAAAAAAAGATGAGAATCCCTTTTCCCTTAATAAAAGGAACTTGAACAAGTTGTACATTTTGAAGAAATATTGTGACTTTGATTCAACTAAAATATAATGGCATGCTTTTTAGCTATTAAGAATGCAGATGCACTATGGTTCTTATTTAGAAGAAGACTTAATTGCAACTGGGATCACAATTCACTTGAAAACTCAAATGCTTTTGATGGAGACTGAAGGAAAACTCTACTCAGAAGCACAGTCTTCCCAGCTCATATCTCCAAGTTTATTTTCACAACAAAATTGTGTTAAATTATTTTGTTGAGGTTTTTATATATTGAAAGTAACTAATCACTCAGAACCAGATAATCTTTTAAGTCCCTTCCAACCCAAACCATTCTGTGGTTCTATGACTCAGTTTAGAAGTGGGCTAAAGTTTTTAACATTGTATTGGCTGGTCATGGTTTGAATTGGCCTCAGCATTACTACTCCTGCTTCTGCACTTGAGAATGTAGTTGGAAAAATTAAGGCCTCAGAGGAAGCCAAATTGAGAAGACCTTTTCCTCTTCTTGTCCACTTATTTTTGCTCTGCATTTTAATAATTAACACTTCTTATAAAAAAAAAATTGTTCAAGATTCATGGTTTAATTTTAATTATTTTCACTTGGTTATTTTAAAAAGTATTCTGAATTAAACATACAATGCAGATAGTGACAAGTGGTATGACATCTAACATGTACAGATAACTAACTTACACAATTTCATAAAAAAGCCAGTCAGTGTAAGGAAGATTACCATTTTGAATTATTAGTGGCAATCAATCCCTGTATTTCTGTATTTTCCTGTATAGTTATAATTAAATAAAGTCCTTTTCCCCCCCCCTCTCTCTTACCCAGAGTTATGGCAAAGTTAACTAATTTCTGAAATAAATACATATTTTTCTTTCATTAGTTCTACATTACATCTGCTTATTACTTTTCATACATTTAAAATGTTTGGTGACAGGAGAACAAAAGGTGGACTTCTTTTGTCTGTTTCTTTTTTTTTTTTTTTATTTGGGCTTTTTGTGTTTCTAGTGAAACCAGAATGAATCTTGAAGAACTAAAGGAAGCTGAAGTTGGCTTTGATGAGACTGATAGGAAAGCTGTTGATATGTAGAGGTGTAGTGACACATATCTATCCAGATTAGCAGTGTACTTGTCACTATTGTACATGCTCCTAAAAAATAAACTCAGAATCTTTAGAATAGTAATGTCTGCTGACTCACATAACTGCCTTTTTCCACTTTCTGCTCTTTTGACATCAGATAGAACCCACATTACTGTCCTACTTCTTCCTCATTGCCAGTGGCACAGAGAAACAGTTTACACCATATTTTGCTTTGATGTTCTGTTAGGGCAAAATTATTTACTCTGAAAGCTGGATATTTAAAAGAAAGTGTTAAACAGACCACAGTGGAAACCACTGTTCTACATCCTCAGTTGAGCTGAAGATACATTGGGCCACCCTGTGCTTGGAGGTGTTCTGTGTTTGAAGCGTTACAGTCTCAACATTTGTCCAAGTTACACAAGTAGGGTTCATTCTCTTTCTGCCTGATTAAAGGGTTCCTCTCATTCTGCCACACCAAAGATGACTCTACCACACTAAAGACACATTCTGCTAGTCTTCAGGACTTTGTGCAATGATGATAAATGTTCAAATAAAGAAGTTCTGCATCCCATTTTCTCTTCTGTTTTGGATAGCATTTTCTGTGAGTTTCAAGCCAGAAAGAATGGACAATTGGTTGTGGGTATCTCTTTTCTCTCATGTGCACAAGAAAAATAGGAAAAACAATATCTTGTGGTTCCAGTTTTGTGATAATGTTTTGCATATGGGGTATGTGCCACCTATATGAGGATGGCATGCCATTAAAGAAGAAAACTGTATTTTAGTGCTGGAATCAAACCGCTTAGAATTTTTAATTGATTAAGTAATTAATTTGACTATTATGAGCAAAATATGTTTATTTTTCTAGCATAGCACTCATTTCTGGTACAATATGGTTTCTAAATATATTACTGTAATAAAAATGCAATTTGTTATGAATTACTATAGTAATTACTATCATTTCACTTTACCATACATGAGAAATTTTGTGCTGTAATGGTGGTAGCTGCAGAACCACAGCATCACAGAACAGGTCAGGCTGGGTGGGAAAACAGTGGTCATCAGGTCCCACACCCCTGCTCCAGCAGGGTCATTCCAGAGCACATGGCACAGGATTGCTTCCAGCCAGTTCTTGACTATCTTCAGTGAGGGAGACTCCACAACCTCTCTGGGCAACCTGTTCCAGTGCACAGCCAGCCACACAGTAAAGACGTTCTTCCTCATATCCAAGTGGAATTTCCTGTGCATCAGTTTCTGCCCATTGTCTCTTCTGCTACTGCTTGGCACCCTGATAAGAACTTGACTTGGCTCCATCCTCTGACACCCTCCCTACAGATACTTATTGACATTGATGAGGTCCTGTCAACAGGTCCCCTCCCAGTTTTCTCTTCTTGAGGCTGAACAGGCCCATTCCCTCAGCATTTCCTTATAAGAGAGATGCTCCAGTCAACAGACTTGTGTGGTTTTAAAAGCCACCTGTGAATCCCTAATAATCAGCTATTGTGTTTGGTTTGTCTCTTATTCAAGGTAGATTTTAACGACTTTTCTATTTCTTACTTCAGAAAAATGTCCATTTGAAGTTTATATTGAAGGAAGGCTCAGGGGAGACCAAATCTGTAAATACCTGAAGGGATGGTATAAAGCAAACAGAGCCAAGGTGTTTCCAGTGGTGCCCCATGACAGGACCAGAGGACATGGGCACAAACTGAAATACTGGAGAACCCCTCCAAATACCAGGAAACACTTTTTTACTGTGAGGGAGAACAACTGAAATGTTGCATAATCTTCTTCCTTGGTGATGTTCAGAAGCTGTCTGGACATGGCTCTGGACAGCCTGCCCAAGGTTAATGCTACTTGAGCTGGAGGGTTGAATCAGGTGACCTCCCTTCCAAGCTCAGCCAGGCTACAATTCTGGAGATCTGTGACACACAGCACACTGTCCTTAGGCACAACTGAGACACAATCAACCTCACTCAAATATTTAACAGGACCACACCAATCATTTTACTTACAGTATCATACAGAGTCAATGTATCGACTTCAGCAATTGTTGCTACACCAGACATTCACATGTACATTTTTGTACATATTTTACAAGTTACTCTGCTGAATTCTGCTCAGCATGTATTGTAACTAAGAAAAATGAGGAATGCAGTTTACACAACATAAAAAAGCTAATGTGATCAAAACATTTCCTCTGTCTAGATGCTAGCTGTACTGTTGAATAGTTAAAATGACTAAAATAATTCTAGGACTAACAGTGTATCTGGTAATATACTCTCAGAGAAAAAAAAAATAATTCACATAAATATGTGGAAATTGTGAACCAAAACTGTAATGTATTGTTGCTAGAATATAATAATATTGTACTTTTTTTTTTTTTTTTTTTTTTTTTTTTTTTTTTAAAAAACAACCCACCAGGCTCCACAGTGGCTTTCAGTTAATTAATAGCTGCTTTTAGTTCAACAAATTTCAGTAAGCATTTTCCTTTTTGATCTTCCAAGTATTTTTATAGATGAAGACTGCCATCTACTGATTTTGCATTTCATTTTTCATTAATTATTTTAAAACTGTCTGGTAAATACTAGTATAAGTATTGCAATTCCTCCTTAAACTAATCTCATATTCAGTATCACACAAATACTTAGTACCTGCTATAATGTTTTCTGGCTTCATCTCAAATGATAAATGCTTGTACAATTTGTTTGTTACTCAAGTTTCCCAAACTTGATACTAATGAATTAAGAAAATGAATTTTAATGTTATATTATTGAATAAAGATTGCCACAGGTACTTTTCTAGCTCTAAAATTTTAAGACCAAGCTCAAGAGTTATTAAAATAATTTAAGTAATTGACATGCACTACATATTATTTTAAAATGCATGTAAAATGTTCCAAAGATGCTTATTATTTTTACTTTCTAATTAGGCAGCGACACTTGCAGGAATGGAAATGTCTTCAGAGGAGGCAAAAGTATGTGAAGCTACAAGAAAGTTGTGGCAAGCAGTATGCAAAAGAAGTTTACAAATGCTCCAGAGGATGTTTGGGTTATAATTCATCTTTATTGGTCAAGGTAATTACATTCTTGCATAAGATGTAGAATACTTCAATACAAACAAATGAACTGATAATTAAAAAAAAAATTAGAAAAATTAAATTCAAGAGACCAATGAAATAGCAATTTTTTGGAAGCAATGGAATCATAGAGCATCTGACTTACTCAACTTCTTCATTCACTTTGTGAGAATTAATTGTTCACTTTTGTTCAAACACGTGGAAGACTTATTTTGCTGTGCATGCTTATTACCATGTATGCGATCTAACAGATCTCTGGGTTTCACTAGGAAAGTGCCGTCCACTGTTTGCAGTTTCTTTTCTCAGTGGGAGTGGTCTAACAGAATTATTCTACCTTTATTTCCCCTTTAACTTGAAAAAATCAAAAGCCCATCAGGAAAAGTCTCAGTTGTGCAAAGTGAGGAAAGCTGGGGGACTTGTTAGTTTATCAACTGCCCTGTAAATTCTCTAATGGTAGCAGAAGTTGTGACAGTTGACCAGAAATGTCAAAGACTCCCATGATTAGTTCTGTGTATGTTAGCAATCCTATTAGATGTTTTTGAAAAGCACTGAGAATTACTACAGAATATTTAATC